GACATGATAAAACATGTTCACACAGTAAAGAGTGCATGCAACATTTCCAGCATCACAGTGCCAGTATACTGCCTCAACATGGGTCACTGTCTTATCAGATCAATTCGTTTCTATTTCTTGCATAATTGGATCTGAATGCTTACCTGATGTGACTTTTGGCCCCCATAGTTTCCCACTGGTCACAATGGTGATCAAGAGTGAGACTTGTTTTAACTTTTCAAAAAACATTTTCTGAGGATGTATACCATTTACGTTATAGGGCTGTCCAAGGACTAAACTCCATCTGCTGACATAGGTGGAGAAAATTTGGGATGAAATAGCTAAACTGTAAAATTTTAGGGGCTATCAGCAATGCTTTATTTCCATGCAGATTACAAAATGAATAAAAGTAGTAGTATGTAATGGCAAAAAGACATGGTAGTTGGTACAAATTAAAATAATTCAAATAGGTTTTCATGTTAATCCTAAAAACAGGGGGAAGGGACAAAGATTAACACTGTATAAAAAACGTAGCTAAGAGAATAAGGAGGTTGATTAAAATATACATTCCTTATGCTTTTGTCAAAATGATAGAAAGCAACTAGAACATAATAGAGTATAATAAGAAAAGCTGAAGATTACATATAAAAACATAGAAGCCCTCCCAAATAAGCCTCCAGATTTATGTTCCCAGAGGAGATTTGAGGCAATTCTACCGCACAGCCACAGAAAGAACAGAGTGTCCATGTTAAGACACATTATCAGATAGAATTTTACTGGATTAGAAATGTAGTAGATACGTCTTTAGCTTTGCTAGTGATTTATGAAGGGGCTGATGGTATTTTCCAAGGAACACTAGGAACAAGTTAATTCTGTTAGAAATAAAACATGGGGTAGAGATGACTTTTTCCCCAAATTGCTGTCTAATCTTTCTGTTTCTAAAACAAGGATTAGATCATAAACAAGTGCTCCTCACTGCTGTCTCATATGGCTGTTTAATGAAAAATGAGGCAAGAGGTTGTGGCCTGACAGTATCTTTCAAAAGTATTCTAACTTTGTTATAGCATCTATAAACACAGCACCGTCTTTTGGAGGAGCTGAAATTTTATATAGGTTCAAAAACCCTGAATAAGAGTGCAAAAGCTGTTGTGCATTAAATAGCTGAGAGACTAACATAATACCGATATTGAAGCAGTTTTTGAAAAATATATATATATTTTTTCATTGAATATCATTGTTTTTCTAAATGAAATAGTAGTGATGGCTATAGGTTTATAAATCAAGGAAAAACAAAAAGGGCAAAAGCAATCTGTCAACAACCTCCCAAACTGATTAATCAACATGTAAAGAAAAAGCTTCAAGAATGAAATAAAAACATCACCACGCACCAGATGATCAGAGTGGCATGTGTCAGGCATTAAATGTTCCTCAGTAACACCTTTCCATCATTTCTTAGTCTAATAATTCTGATGTATTTAATGCCAACACTGTTCTCACTGCAGGTTTGTTTTGATGAGTTTTGTCCAAGTTTTTCTTTTCGTGACAAAGGAAGGGATGTTTAGAGATGATATGATTGCCTGAGAGGCATGTCAATGCGTACATTTATGTGCACATAGTAATCTTATAACTGCAGAAAATCAGATTTTGTCAGTAATCCGTACAATGCATTTATGTTTATAAGCACTTGGGTAAACAGATAATGGGAAAACTCTACAATAATTTGAAAAATAAAGATTTTTTTTTTTTTGCATTGAATATCATTGTTTTTCTAAATGAAATAGTAGTGATGGCTATAAGTTTATAAATCAAGGAAAAACATAAAGGATAAAAGCAATCTGTCAACAAACCCCCAAACTGATTTATCAACATGTGAAGAAAAAGCAGCATGGGTCAAAATGTAGAAATACCCTTCATTGTAGAAAGAAGGGTTAAAGATAGATCACTTCATAGCCATGAGTTGAATTTCCTTCTAGCTCTGTCGATAACTGGGCTAAAATTTAAGCTACTTCTGATATTCTTCTGGCATGAGACTTGATAAAGATTCTGTACAAAGAGGTAGTGTGGCAATCATTAACAGCCAGGAGCTCACATTTATCAATTTGCAGCGAATCCTGAGGCTTTTGAAAACATCTTAATATAGTTAATAGCTACAGGAATTTGCAATCTTTCAAAAACAGCTATCTGGCTGATTAAGTTTTTTTTTATATATGCAACTGTGATTCCTTATAAATGGCTACTCACAATAAAAGAAATAGGGAGGTGAGCTGCAAGTAACAACAAATAAAGGGGATAAAAGACGACCCTGACAAATTCCTCTTAACGATTCAACTCTAGGCAAATTACTGGTTTTAAGCTCTATCAAACAACTGCCATTTTTAGAGAGTTTTAATGAAATTAATAAAATTGTCACCAAAACCAAATTTGCTAAGTGGGAATCAAAAGCTTTGTAAAGGTCTAAGAAAAAAGTAAATATATGAATAATTCAATTAAGCAAAATCCATTAGGTCTAAGACAAGTCATACATTATTTGCTATATGTTTTTGACATAAAGCCAGATTGTTTCGTCTAGACCTATAAAAGAGTTTAATACACTTACAATAAAGCTAGTATTTTGTAATCCCAATTTATGAGACACATAGTTCACCAGTTATCATTCAGAAGAGTATATTTTGTAGTTTTTGGGATCAAAGGCTATCAACAATGATGTAGTGAGGAGAAGTCGTCTCTCTCTGTGTTGTCATCATGGTGGTGTTAGCAGAAGAGCTCTCTTGTAATCTCTGTGTGTTTATGTACCAGCACTGACTCCAGTGTCTGATAGTGTCTAGCTGATAGCTTGACGGTATCTTTAGGGGATAGTAACTGGCCTAGTTGCACTAGCATAAGAATAAGTTTTCCAAACAGACAGCAGAACATTTCTGTAAATGCATCTGTCAATCCAACATTGAAAATGTGAACAAAATGAGACACTGCCCTGCCACCAAATACTTACTAAGTATAGCTCAAAGCCCAAAACACTTTTTTCCCATATGGAAAAAAACATACATTCTAAACGTATTTATCAAATACACTTTTGCAATGGCAAAAATGAATTTGTTTAATATATTTTTAAAATGCATTTATTTGTACTTGTTGTATTATATATTTTTTTAATTGCATGTAGTTTTAACAAACATTACAGATATAACTAAATATACATGAACTGAATGATTGGCACTAACTTCTGTGTTGTGCACTGTACTTTGCATGAACTATGTACATATGCAGCAAGACAGCACTCATACAAAAGTTATGTCAAATAAACAAGATATCAAATATTTTAAAATACATTGCAATATATTCTGAAATACATTTTAGTGTTTGGAATGTGTTTCTGCCTGGATTGCAACATATTTGAAATGTATTTCAAATATAAAAAAAAATACGTCCATATATTTTTCATGTAGGTTGGCTTGGGCATCTGCATGCACCTCTTTGGTTTATCAAATGTAGTTTTAGTCCCTTTTTCTGCTAACCTTTTTACACTTTCATATATGTTAGTATGAGGCTGAAATTGGCCTCTTATTTGGCACTGTGAATGCTACTGCTACACCATTTAAGGTGGAATGATTCATCATTATCTTAGGCACTCTGCTGAGGCTGCCAGCATGTCAAGTAAATGCACAATTATTCGTACATTATATGAATACAAATTCATTCAATAGCTAACTCATATATTCACATATTCATACAATATATGAATACAAATTCAGTAGCTAATGTAGCCTGTGTGTAATTGTTTCTTTTCTAGCAGTCTAAATGCCATTTCCGCTTTTAACACTAACCTCATTCCAACATCAATAAATTAGAGATTCTACCAATGCCTTGCAAAAGTATTCCACCCCCAAAACAGCAAAACAGTGTCTCAGAGAAGAATATTTAAACTCTTTCCGTGTAAAAATGACTAATGACTGTTTTTAGTACATAAGCTCACTCAAACATGTTTGGCAGAGTGTTCTTGTGCTGAAAAAGCAGTCTTTTGGGGTAAGTATGCACACAGTTAACGACTGATCGTGACCCATTTTCAAAAAGTGTCACAGATTCTCAGTGAGACTGAGCTTACAGCAGTGACCTGGATGTTTGGGGGCCAGTCCCAGATGCTGCCTTGACCTTGTGCTTGGGATCATCATCATGCTGAGAGGTGAAACTTCTCCCATGCTTCAGTTTCTTGGCAGACTGAAACAGGTTTCTCATGTAGTGTTTTGCTCCACTTATACCCCCTTTGTTCACAAGATTAAGCACAATCTCTGCTGATGCACAGTACTCCTGATTCCAACTGTTTATGGCCTACACAGCGCTACACAGCCAAACATCTCTATTTTGGTCTCAGCTGGCAACAAAATATTTTCCCACATTTACAGCTTTTATCTTGCCTTCCAAGCAGGCCAGTCTTACACAGAGTTCATTATATTTTTAACTCAGGCTGCATTCAGTTTTGAGAAAAGTAAAGTTAAAAAGAAAAATAGTCAGTTAAATACAAATCATATTCAAGTAAATATATTATGTACACAAAATCTGTATTTTCCATAGTATAAATACTATTTCTATTTTTGTAAACACAGATATCCCTATGTACTACAGTGCCACGCAAAAGTAGTCAACATTATCAAGATTTTTTTGGATTATGCATTATACTTATACATATTTTTCCAATCAGGGTTCAGGAGGTCACTTTTGGTGTTATTTTGTGCCCTAATTTATGCCTTTTTATGACTTCCTCTTTAACGTTCGTGATATGTTCTATAAATTATTGCATCTCCTTTTTTGTACTTTTTATCTAGAAAATGTAGCTTATGAAAGAAATGATATCCAGGTTGTCCTTGTTTTTCCATCTGTGTAACTTTGGGGCTTCCATTTGGGTTGAATACTTATGCAAATATCTTCCAGTTTTTCTTTTTCAGTTTATCTGGATAAGTCACTTATTTGGCTTTGACAATTCAGAGCTGGAGCGTATGAGTTCACAATAAAAATACTGATTGACAATCAGCTTCATTTGAAATACAGAAAATGTTAATAACGTGTGTGAGTGAAAACTTTTACAAGGCACTGTGTACACTCAATGCATCTAAAACAAAGTCTTGTGTATACAGCTCCACATCGTCCTCCAACAATGCAATTTGTCTTAGAGCCAAAACCAGCACATGTATGGTCACAGCTTTCTGAGCTTGTTTTAGAAAGAGAGAGAGAGAGAGAGAGAGAGAGAGAGAGAGAGAGAGAGAGAGAAAGAGAGAGAGAGAGAGAGAGAGAGAGAGAGAGAAAGAGAGAAAGAGAGAGAGAGAGAGAAAGAGAGAAAGAGAGAGAGAGAGACAGAGAGACAGAAAGGTGTAGATATCCAGTATCACAGCTTCAGGTGGTGGAAAAGAAAAGCAGCATTCCTAAGCAAGCTTGAACATGTGTGATTCATGGACACCTTTTATAGGCAGAAGTCTCATACTGGCGCCGGATGTGAATATTTTAACTCTTTCCAAGGAAATTACATAATGTCAGCGCTGCAAGTAACAGCTAATAATTACTACAGATAGGATTATTGTAGTATTCATACTAGCATTCATTAAAAATACAGTTTTTATTATTTTTTGAAGTACATTTTGAACATATTCTACTTAACTCCCAGACCAGTGAAAAGCACAGTTTATTATGTATCTATAATGGAAACATCATGCATACTGTTTTTAATAGAACAGATTCTTGGTTACAATACATTTTTCAGGCTGTTGTTTGAACAATTACCATGTTACAAAAGAACAGTTGGTTCAGCGTGTGCAGTTGATGGGGTGGGGCTTATGGCTAGGAAAATGTAACAGAGCCTCCGCCAACAGCAAAGAAAGAAGCTGCTGCTTGTGGTCACTTTCACTACTCTGTACTTCAACTCAAATTCCCAGAGTTAATCCTCTTTCAGATTGGAATGCAAGCATCAAGATTTTGCTGCACTTAACAGGTAAGCATGTTTTCTACTGTACCTGTTTTAGGATTTAGATTGCTTTTGTAGGTGGTGCACATTTTTGCATGAACATCACAATAAATGAAGAGGAACTAAGAATATAACACAGTAGCCAATAATTAAGTATGCTCAAATGAGGTTTGGTGGATTTTCTAAAAGAAAATAAGAAAATAAGATATCCTCTACAGAGAACACACTTCTGCATTTTCATGTAGAATTACTGTTAATTTGCTGCATTTAACATATTTGGGGAAATTTAAAACATAAAATGAGGACTTGGCAAAAGTTATGGCACGTTTTATATTTCATGGTTGGTTTTGCAAGTATGTTAAAGTCACATAGAAATAGGAATTGTGCACTAAAATGGGCAGAAAATGCCATATTTAAGTTTGTTTCCTGTGAAATGTTAGAAAACTTAGAAAATGAACAAAACCTGTAATTTGACTGGGGGGGGTGTTCAGACTTTTACATACAACTGTGTAATATTAAAACATATTATTTACAAAATAGCAATTGTACACACATGTAAATGAAATAGATGCTTTGTATTTGACAACACTTTCATGTATTACAGTTTCTCATCTTATATTTGAAGCTCAGAAACATTGATTATTGTGTATGTTTCCTTTTTAAGATCTCAGACTGATGAATCCTCAGAAAGGAATGTATGTGCTGCCTAGAATAAACATTATAGACATTAAGAACCAACAAAAACAACTTCTTTACTTTGCATCTGTAGAGGACAATGAAAACCCTTTTACCACTGTTCCACATACCAGTCTTTATCTTCATCAGTTTTTCAGTACTTAAAACATGCCTAAGCATTTTAAAAATAGGTCAGAGGGTACCAGCATTTTCACAGTTTTCAGTGTCTCAGCACATGAATGGCTCACTACTGATTAAGCATCACACCAAAACAGAAATCTGAAACTTGTCTATAAATCCTGTGTTTATTAATATTGTTTAATGTGTATTTCTCTGTGAGGTTTGTGATATTATACTAGATTTATTGAACATTTAAAGTCTTTTTAGATGTACCATGCAACCAGTATAAGAAGAACATTAAAACATCCCCAAATCAAAAATGGCCCATTTCTACTTATTCTAAATAATGTTCACAATAAGACATTATAGCAAATGATCAAGTGTCTACCATTTCCATTTAAACACATTTTATAGGACAGATCTAGGTAACACTTTCTTATGAATAGAATGTAATGCATTATGGTTGATACATAAATAATAATTTTAATAAGTAGGGATGCACCGATTATGACTGATCATGGTCGATTACAACCAAATAAGCCAATGGCTGATTTTATTAACCTTTTTAACCCAAAGTTCATACATTTACACACATTTACAGTACTTTCTATTGAATCCAGAATCATAACACAAAAATAAATGACATTATTTGCTCTTTGATGGGCCAAATAGGCATTCAAGTGAAAAATCATTTGCTTATTTAATTAACATGAATCAAATAAAGAGCTACATTGAAAGTAGGAGGCAACTGGCTGTTTAGTGCAATGAATCGTATAACTATGCTATGACATTTTGGTATAGCATGATTTGGTATGGTGGTGTAGCAGCAGCTTTCAAATACAGGACGAGTATTTGTGGCTCATGTTATTTACACCATAAAATTGCAACACAGATGAGGCAAAAGAAAAATAAGACATTTGCTAATTGCTGTTTGCTTGTTTGGGGCAAAAATCCTCCTGGTAAAAGATCCTGGTAACTCAGTAGATGTTTTGTTCTGATATCTCAGCTTGTTTGTAATCTGATTCCATTTATCTTCACAGAATTACACAAAGGAGCTACGATGACTAAGATGTGTCTAAATCTCACCACTACAGTTGAGTGTAACTGCTCAGTCAGTGACTTCAAACGCACTGTCTACCCAGCTGCCTATCTATCTATCTTCTTAATTGGACTAATTGGAAACCTTGTGTCATTATGTTTCTTCATTGGTGTGAGGAGGACAGTGAAGACCTTCACTCCAGTCAACCTCTTCATGCTGAACCTCCTCATATCAGACCTGATGTTGGTGTGTTCGCTGCCATTCCGAGCTGTCTACTACCTTTTGGATTCCAACTGGGTCTTTGGAGACATCACTTGTCGCATCATGGCTTTTGTGTTCTACATTAACATGTACGGCAGTGTTTATTTTTTAATGGTGCTTAGTGTAGTTCGCTTTGTGGCCATTATCAGACCATACAGTTACATGCACTTACAGAATAGCCGAGGAGCTGTGCTGGTATGTGTCTTGGTTTGGCTGTTGGTGTCTTCAGCCTCCATCCCTCTTTTAGCTTCAGGAACATCTCAGGATTCATCTGGTAACATCAAATGCCTGGAGCTGGACTTGTCTTTGGTGAATAGCATTATCATTCTAAACAAAGGTGCTTTGTGCTTGGGCTTCATTCTTCCCTTCATTGTTATCTCTTTCTCTTACATAATTGTGGCTGGGAAATTGCTACGGAACGTGCAAGGGAAAAAAGCACCGCACTATAAAAAATCTTGCTCTCTGGTAATCATTGTTCTTCTCATTTTTCTAGTATGCTTCTTGCCTTATCACGTTGTGCGCACTGTCTTTCTGGATGCTGAAAAAGAGGTACACGAGAACGGTTATGGGGATTCATGCCAGCGCATTGCATTCATAAGAAAAGCCGCGGTTGTCACGCTCTGCCTGGCAGCGTGCAACAGCTGCTTGGACCCTGTCCTCTACTTCTTTGTAGGAGAAAACTTCTGGAGCTACTGGAAGAAAAAGAGAAGACGGTCCCAAAGGAAAAGACTTGATCACAGGAATAAGGACCCAAGAAATACTACAAGGGCAGAGCAGTGAGACGGCCATGCTTAGAGTGACAGCTGAAAAATTACAGGCGAAAGTGACAAGGATGGGACTGAACTTGCAGCAGAGTTTTCCAATAACATTATGCCCAGTGAAACGTGACAGCCGTTATGAACTGTGTCCAAACTACTCAACATTTGTCTGTATCTTTAGGATCAAAGAGTTTTCTGAGGCATTCAAAATGACAATATTTTCTTTGTAAAAGCATAGTACAACCTTTTAGCCTGGTTATAGAATTGTAGGTACACTTTAAAAAAGTATATGTTGAGAAAAGTCAAAATATTGAGTTAACATAATGCATTAGGAATGTTGAGATTTGTTTGATGTTCTCATCCAGAAAATCTTTCAGTCTAATCATGTTACAGCGGTAAGCTAATTAAGCATTAGGGGTCTTGCCTAGGGACGCTACTTTAGAGTTATCTAAACCCTCCAATTATCTATTAAATACTTGTTGCAACATGGTGCTTGTTCAATAGAAATGACAATAGCAACATCGCTTTTCTGAGCTTTAGGTAACAGTCGGTATGGACGAGTGGGTGACACTACTGCCCTCCACCCAGCATACTGTGTTTTCATTCTCTGTTAAGGAAAAGTACCAAGAGTCTTTGGGCAAGACTCCTAATGTTATGTTCTATGTTATACCTCGATAACATTATTATACTGTACGTCAATCTGGATAAAACTGTCTGCTAGGGTTTGTAGGAGTATTAATGTTTACTAGTCAACTAATCGTCATTATCAAATGAAAAAGATGGACATCTTTACATATTTTGTTTGTAGCTTGCTAACAGGGGCTGGGTCAGAGATGTGAGATGTGCACTGCAGAGAATTTTTGTTGTATTTAAGCAAGTTTGGGACTCTCTTCCCAGACTGTCTGATATAAGCTGCATGTTTAAAATCACCACAGCTCTCAGACACTCATCTCTAACAGAGAACTTTCACTGGGAAACAAGTAATTGTTTATCAAACTAAATGCTAGTAGCAAGCAGTTGCATCTACGCAGCAGTAAACCTCAAAGAGTGAGATACAGGCCAAGTCGCTGAAGCAGGAAACACTCATGACATCCCAAACCTACTCAATCAGGCTTATGAGCCTGTATTTCAACACAGTTTTACTCAGCTTGCAGTGGATTTGAATTTATTTTGTGTACTATTTTCACAGTGATTAAGTTTTTTGGGCTTTGTATTTAGCTGAAAAAAAAGAATTTCCATTTTTTCCTTCTGCCTGTTCATTGCAGTTTTTACCACAGCTGTATTCAGTCACAGTGCTCAACTAGTCTAGACTGCTGCCCACTGCACAGACTAGATTTATTAGTCATCTAGTCGACTAATCTGTCAGATTTTAACTGCAGCCTAGAGCTGGATGAACAAAAAAATCTAAGCTAGTTAAACAACTTTACCTTAGTAAAGATGACTACAAAGGAAGCTGTTAAGAAAACTCAAAAGTAGTAATTCTATGGCATTGAGGAAAGAATACTTCTCCACTTTTAATAAAAAATAATAATAAATGTTTAGGAACATTCATTATTATTTTTTATTAAAAGTGGAGAAGTATTCTCACCTTGTATGCACCTAGTGTATCTCACCTAGTATGCACCTTGGCCCGGATGCACAGATCTAGGAGAAATCTTGACTTGGTGTAGAACCTTTACATTATATGGAGGTTCTTTAAACTTTTAAATGTTTTTTTACATCTCATTTACAAAAGTGGTTCCTTAAAGATCCATCTATTGAAAGACTTTTCAGGCAAGTAAAAGTGGTTTCTTCTATGGCATCACTCTAAAGAACCTCTTTTTGCACCTTTATTGAATAGTGTATTGATGACTCTGTAGCTCCTAACATTGTATAATATGCATTCTCACTGTTTTTAATGGAATAATATGCTTACTGTTCTTGTAATGACCTTATAAAATGTTGCAGTTGGTGCACTATATATTAAAACGAGGCACTTAAAGGTGCAGTGTGTACGATTTAGGGGGATCTGTTAACAGAAATGGCATGTAGTACACAAAACCATGTTTTCATTAGTGTACAGTCCTGTAACTACAAATTGTTCTGTTTTCGTTCGCTTGGAATGAGCCCTTTATATCTACATAGTGAGCAGATCCTCGTCCAACAGAGGCGCTGCCATTTTTTTACAGTAGCCCAGAATGGTGGCTCTAGAGAGTGGCTTTCGCATTTTTACATCGAATTTGGTGGCACTATAGCGCCGGCTGGAAGACGTCTAAAGAAGAAAAATCAGTGGTTGGGGCGGTGTTGGCTAACCATTTTGTGTTGTGAGAAGTTTGAGAACCCAAATTTTGACAAATGGAGGATCATTCCTATTATTTAGCGCAAGAAAAGCGAGGGAGGGTCAATTCTCGTCATCCCAAAGGCGAAAATATGAAGAAGCAAAACAAAATTGGGACAGACAAAGGCAGAAAATCTGATGGCCATCATAGGTTCTACTATACGCTTGGAAAGGGATGGGTGAGGCAGGGGTCTCACACACTGCTCCTTTAAAAGTAGAGCTTGTAGTTCAGCCTAGAGGTTGTGCTTGTATTTTTGACATACTCTGTGGTTCAAAACTTTTTATTGTAAAGCAGTAGAGATGAAACGATATTAAAATTTCATATCACGATTATCATGACCAAAATTATCACGATTATCGGTATTATCGCGATATTGTTCAAATGTTTTGAGAAGTAAAATAAATAAAAAAATAAATACTGATACACAAACTGAAACTCTTTTCACCAACTTTTATATTAACACAAATAGAATTGGCAGCAATATGCACTTTCTGTTTGCATAAACATTAAAAAATAAGGTCAATACATTTTTAGTATTACTTTTGTATTACTTACAATACTTGTAATACTCTGTAAACAAAAGAATAGCAAATGTATTATTATTACAGTTATTATTATTATTATTATTATTAATAATAATAATAATAATTACAATAACTAGGGATTTCCCTGCATAGAGAATTAAATCTCGACCAATTCTGAGGTGGGTCTTAATGGAAAATTACACAAACCATGACATTTCTTCTATTTCGAAGTCCCCACAGACTTCTCCGTTAAAGTTAACCTTGCAGAAAAAAAAGTAGCGGGTGGTGGTCGCGAAATGACTCGTAAGGTTGGATGTGTTGCTCCCTTTTGCCGCTGTTTTCTTTCGGCCTGTTCTGCAGACAGGGTGGTCATCTGCAGACAGGGTGGTCATCTTCAATTAACTTTCCTTCTGCATCCTTATAAAACCCAAAATATGACCAAACGTCAGACTTGGTCTTCTTAGAAGGCTGAAACATCTCCGAATCTCCGAGTTTTCACACCGCGGTAATCGACCGCGGTTTTAACGATACTTTAAAGTTCAAACGGTACTACTAACCGTCATTAATTTTACCGCGGTTTACCGTGAAACCGGTAACCGTTTCATCTCTATAATGCAGATTATTTTGGATACCAGTGTCCCAAAAACAATAAACTTATTGTCTAAGCTTCAAACATTGAAATCCTATCAAAGTTGCATACAACAAGCGTATACACTAAATGACATTTTTGCATGTTGTTTGTTTCTCACATATTACCAGCCTAGGGTGTGTTATAACATTCTAATCTAAAGGCAAAACGATCTTCAAACAGAAAAAAAAACAGGCTCATAAAACTGAAAGCAGTAACAGTGAAATCAGTATATTTTAATCATGCAAGCTTGACCTATTTATATTGTATAGTAAAAAGTTTGGGTTTGCACTGATACAAGGAAAGCAGCTTACAAAAAAGTAGAATTCTCATGATGTCAGAACCCAACTCACAGAGAATTTGTAGGAATTGTAAGTGATGGGGATTGTATGATCTCATATGAATTAAGTAAAAATCCCCCAACTACTAAAGCCTAGCCTTAGCATGCAAATTTGCATTCATGAAAGTGTCTAGCCTTCTCTGATTAACTTGTTCTGTATTTGTGCCTCACCTACAGCCTGACCATAATGTATCGTTGTGATCAGTTTGTGTCTGAGAAACGTAGCCATAAATGACACATAGTTGTGATTAAATTCATGCAAAACTCTAAGGTAAGGTCATCATTGATCAAAGGAATAGTAATGACAACCACTGCTTTCCATTTTGTTGGGGAAACAAACAGAGTTAGTGAGATAAGATCAACATTATTGTAAAGCAGCCTGTTGAAGAACTAATATAGTGAAGTAGTGAAGCCAGAGGCTTATTTACAGTACTGAAACTGGTTAACATGGACTAGACTCAGGTTCAGAATCAACAACCTTATTCTTCATTATTATATGATATATGTAATAACAGGAGACTATGTCATTGTTTTAATAAAGAAATTAGCAAGGTCATAGGCACTGTGGAAATGCACTCCAGGAATGAAGTTACATTAAACACATAGCACAAGCACACACATAGTTTGTCTAGCCTACATAAAATAAGTCTCAGCGTTTGATTTTAATGTCCAGTGCCTGTCCACAAAAAAGCTTTTTTTCTATTAATAATGTTAGTAGCATCTGGGATTAAAAAAACAAACATTTTAAAGCCAATGAGAAGTAATAGTGGCACCTATATGTATACATAATGTGATTTTAAAAAAGGACAAAAATGTATACATACATGCCATGATCCTTTTTGGGATTATGCAATAAGCACCTTTGACAAAATTGTTAATGTGTTGCTTGGCAAAGCTTGGGGAGTAATTTAAAGATAACCTTATACCCTGATACATTTTAAAGCTTTGAAATAAATCCTAGAAGGCACATCCTCTGTGGTGTTTGAGGCTGGCCAATAAAGGTTTATACATTGCTTACTTCAAAGTATTTACTTGCAGCTCCATCTGCTGGGCTTTCTCTGTAACACATGCATCACCTATAAATACATGGACTTGTGCCCCCTGTGGTGGAAATGGGAACGTTTAAGTGTACATGTAGGCTTTCTTTGGGCCACATAAGTGGATTTTACAATGATCTGCAAGCCTACTTTACATAGGAAGATCCAAATTACTAATATATATACTATATTTTCTGTTCACCAGTTCTTTCAATTTAAGTGTCTGAATATACCGCATATTAATTGAAGTTGAAAAAGCTGCTTAAAGCTGACATGGGATAGGACCAGAGGTGGGTAGTAACTAGTTACATGTACTCAAGTACATTTACTTAAGTAAAATATTGATTGATTTGTACTTTCCTGAGTACCTACTTTTTTTTCAAGTATATTAGTGAGTAAAGAAATCTTTTTACATTTTAGT